GATTGTTTTTAATTGCACAGGGGTCTTACCACATTAAAATGCTAAGTGGTTCACTTTGAACTAGTATTTCAGCAGTTGTAAAATGTTAACACAGTTGAACAAAAAAATATGAAAATCAGCAATAATTACTCATTTGCTTTAAAAAAGCTTGAATAACTCATTAAAATGAGGCAAATCTGTGTGTCATTTCAACTGATTACTTTTTCTTATTGTCATCGTTTTTGAAATAGGAGCCAGTAACACAGCAGATACCTTATTTCAAGAAGTACTGGGTCGCAAGGACAAAGCTGATTCAACAAGAAACGCACTTAATGTTCTTCAACGTTTTAAATTTCTTTTCAACCTTCCCCTAAATATTGAAAGAAATATCCAGAAGGTATAATGCTTTAAAGATTATTTTTTTGTTTGCTGAAATTAGTCTGTTACTTTTTTCCTGACAAGTATAAATGCTTGCTTTTGTTGATGTTTGATTGTTGTTGTTTTTAAGGGTGATTATGATGTCGTTATTAATGACTACGAAAAAGCCAAGTCCCTCTTTGGAAAGACAGAAGTTCAAGTATTCAAAAAATGTAAGATATAGGTTCTGTTATTTAATACCTTTTTTTTTATTTCACTTAAAGTAGTGGACTTTAGTGGGCTAAAGAGCTTTATGTGAGTTTGATATGAATTTTAATCCATACAAATTAGAGATTTATAGGATCCAATTACTCTAAGCAATATTTCTGGCAAGTTTTCTGAGTGAGGTATGTACTACAAAACATGAAATCGCAGCCAATTTTATTTGTTTATTCAGTCTTAGTATTGCTGGACATAAAAAAGGTTCCCCAAAGTCACATTTCAGTTATTGTATCTCTCACTGGCATATTGTTGTAAAGACTTGGTTGTCTAACTTTCTGTTTTTGTAGAACTGTCATGTACAAAATTTTCAGATGTGGCTTGTTACAAAATGTTACATTCATTTCCACATTATTTCCAAAAGTGTCTGATATCCCAGGAAAATAACGTAATTTTCAGTTCATAACACTGCTGAAGGCATGCATTGGATTTATTTCCACTCCATATTCCTAGATTATGCTGAAGTTGAAACCAGAATTGAAGCTTTGCGAGAACTTTTGTTGGATAAGCTGCTTGAAACTCCATCAACATTGCATGATCAGAAACGTTATATAAGGTAATCACTTAACTTGTGCAATCAGACATATGGTTGTTAGGAGTGAATTTAATGTTTCCTAAGTAGGGTAGTGACTAGTTCTGTGATGGTTTAAATAATGATTTTAAAGCTGTAGAGTATTTAGAGATTTTTATGATTATATAAATAAAGGTAATGGAGTGGTACTCAATTGTATTGCATGACTAAAAAACAGTTCTTGAATGAGAACGATTTAATGAAGCATAATTGAGATCTAAATTTAATTTTTTAAAATCTTTAAAGCATGTTTAGATACTGGTGCATTCTCTAAACCATCATATTGCAGCCTGTGTTTGAAATGATCCCTCACAGTTTGCATACCTCAAAGTAGATTCCTTACTAACTTGTCTTACACTTACATAACACCAAGCTTGGCTTGGTGTTGAAATGGAGTCATCCCAAATTAGAGAACAGGGAGGTTTTAATCCAGGCTGTCATTTGAATTTTGTGTTGGCTCTTTGCTGCTCAGTCTAAATAATGTAGTTCCTTTATATTTCATTAACATGATCTAGTTCCCCAGTTTTCATTAACATTGCTAGATTTTCTGTTGTTCACAGAGCTGATATCGAGGTCTGTTGTAAGGATACTGATACAAGTTGGTCGGAACTTCTTCTGGGGAGACTTTAACCTTATGGCCCTTGGTGCCAAACTTTAGATGCTCTGGAACATTTGATGGCTTTATTTAGAAAGCTTTCGAGGTTTGGATGCTACTAGGGCTCCTAGTGTGTCTTGGCAATCTCAGGGCTTTTTTCAGTTATCTTAAAAGAAGTGGACCAAACATGCTCTGTGGGAAGTATTCGTGAAATTGTGACACTTGTGCAAGGTTTTGTGTGTGTATCAGGCCCAGTCGCACAGGACGAAGTGCAGTATTGGTAACTTAGGTCCCTGTATGTTATGTGCGTTTATGAATACAATGACCAGTGTTATATAAATATTTCATATTTATTGGAATTGTGTTTTGAGAGGAATAATTAAGCATTTTATGTTGCTGAAGAAGACACTGCTGTTTCCCTTCTCTGTCAGTCTTGAAAACTTTTAAGAGCGGCTGCTTTGTGTAAGGCAGGTCTTATGACATTTCCTAAGGATTCTTTGAAAGAATCAGAGTTATACATGTGCTTGATTCTGGTTGGGTTTTGTTTGGGGTTTTTTTTTGTTTGTTTCTTGGTTGGCGTTTTTGGGGTTTGTTTTGGTTTTTAGGGTTTTTTTCTAGCCCCATGAAGTACTGAATCTTTAAAAATATCCCAGTCTGTGTTAAAGCAGACTGTGTTAATGTAGCTACAAAATGTATTCCATGTGTAGAACAGTAGAATAAAGGAGAGCATGGAGTGAACAAATGTGGAATAATTTAGTTCTAATGAATTAACAGAGTCTCAGCCTACGAAGTGACTAAATTATTTTCACTACTCGAGATATGCTAATGTGGTTATGCTAGTGTAAATATTCTGGAGTCAAGGTGTGAAGTGAGTTTTCTTCAGAGCACTTCAGCTAAAAAGAAATTAACAAAATCCTAATTGTAAAGTTGTTTGCATAAACCCTGCTATTTTTATGAGGCTTTTTTTCTTCCTTGAAATGTTTGGTTTGTGTGTCTCCGAAGTCTGAGGCTGAGCAAGACCTGAAATACTGTGGTTTTCCCCCTCAGATATTCAGTGTTTATAATTAGGCTTCAATTCATATTTTCCTCTCATTGTATTATGGTATTTACATTGTTAATTATTTTATACTGTTCAGAAACAGTTTACTATAGCACTTAACAGCCAAGTAGGTGTATTTCTTTCAAGACCAGTGGCAATTTCTGTTTTATTTTGTGCCTAAGAAAAGACTAAAGTCCCCCTTAACACTGAGGAAAGACTTGAGCTCATAATTTATAAATGTCACTCTGTCAAAATGGTTAGTTGTGTAATTTTCTTATCCATCCAACCAGTCCTACTTTGACAGTTTATTTTTCGTTCAAGCACTGCAGACAGTTGTCAAAGAAGACATAATTTTGCAACACAGTCCTAATTAGCATTAGGTGTTATTGTAGTAATACAGCTTTTGTGGGAGAGCTAAATATTCCCTGCATTGCTTAGAGTAATGTATCAGTATACTTCACCTTAAGCATCTTGAATTTTTTTAATCTGTCCCGAGTCTCATTAATGCAGTATGTAATAGAGTGCCTTAAATATAGAGCAGCTACCACTTTTTTTGAAAATACTCTTCTGAAAGTATTGTTATTGGAGAGTCTTCAATGTCATTTGTTAGACTACATTCCTTCTGTGTTCTCTTCAAAATCACAACAGCTGGCTCCTAATACTCTTTTCCCTAAAGACAGATGGTGTTTTGCTTCTGCAAATTACAAGTCCAAATCCTTTTTGTTACCTCTTTCCCCTCCAGACCATGTGTGCACAAAAATACCCAGACCAAAACAAACAAACACACAAAAAACCCCAACCAGGAGCTTTGTTTACATTTGTTTGTGCATGCATGTGCTAAAATTAACTAGCTGCCAGAAATTAATTCCTTCTGTAATTACTTGTTAAGATTACATGATGATACAATCAGGGCATATACAGTAGGAAATAAAATACCATATTTTATGTGCTTGAGATGTCACCACTGGTTCCAAGTGAAATATGAAGCACTAAACTGCAACCTTGCAGATAAAGAGCTTGGTTTCCCACAGACTTCACTAGAGGCATAACTGAAAATGCATATTGTTATGGCATTAAATATAGATTTATTTTTTTTTTATTTCTACAAGTGGTTTTGGTGGAATTTTGCCTCACTAAATGAGGGCGAGAGAATGGAAAGCTCGTGTTTGCAGTGGATATTAGTGTATCTTAACACCTATTCTTGAAGTTTTAAAATTATGTTAAGGTATTTCTCAATACATCTGTGGTCTGTTTTAACGAGACCTTCATTGTGTCAAGTCAGAGGAGTGATTTTTGGTCTGGGTTTTACAGATATCTTTCTGATCTTCACGCGCCTGGGGACCCTGCTTGGCAGTGCATTGGTGCTCAACATCAGTGGATTCTGCAACTCATGCACAACTGTAAGGAGAGCTATGTTAAAGAACAAAAAGGCAAGGATACATTTTTATTTTACATACATTTCTATATATTTGACATGTAGGAATTTGGCATCGCCTTTTATTTGACAGGTTTTAGTGTACAGATGATATTTGGGGTTTTTCCCATCAATTCTGATAGCTTTTTACAAAGTCAGATACTGACTTGTATTTTTTCTTTATTCTATTATAAAAACAAAACAGCGGTTGGAGTTTTCTTTTTGTTTAACTTACCACTTTTAAGCTCTTTACATGCGAAAAGCATTAAATTTCAGTCATTTATCTGAGGTTTACTGTCTTCTCAAAATAATTCCATGAGGTCACATGAAGTTTGGATTGTTCTCTCAATCTGCCAGTTAGATTTCTTTGTCACAAGGTATGCTGTTACTGTATGGATACAAAGGATGTTGGGGTGCAGTGGAGTAATGCTTAATTTGTTGATATGTAGTAAATCATATTATGGTGTTTTCTCATTCTGAGTTTGTGTGCAGTTTCAAAATGCAGGTTACACTGTTCGGAGCAGATGTGTGAGCTGGATAAATGGACAATGTTATACTAAGACCAATATGAATACTTAGTTGTATCCTCTCTTTGCCAATGTTGCTCCTCAAAGAAATGCATAGATGTTGCTTTCAGGTGTGGCAGCAACTTAGCTACCAATTAACATGGTCTATCACATTAGCATAGATGCAAAAGAGAATAGGTGAAAGGTCATTAGCCTAACATTTCTAGTGGTAAAGTCTGAAAACTGGATTCTCAAATTAGAAAATGACAAATAGTGCCTTGTTTCTCAAGAAGTCTTACAGAGTTTGCTGCTAGTTCTGAAATGAGGAGGCACAGTGGAATCTGGCCTCCCTTGGCTTATAGGTAACTTCCATGTTTAGAGTTAGTGTGTGCATATCCCAAACCAAATAAGATGTTTTGTTCTGAGAATCTACAGAAGTTTTACTGAGTTGGAGCTGCTTGCAGAAATGTGCTGTAAAATTGCTACGGTAGGCTTAAACTCTGTTGCAGAAGTTATGACATTAGGTATAGAGTTCACAGGGTGCATCGCATAAGACAGCCATGTCAGTAAGTTCTAGCTTAAACGTGAGCACAGACCGTCTTTGTTCCACTACCCTGTGTGAACTGCTGGTAGACCAGCTGGAATGCCAGATTGAGTTCTTGGCCTCTTGGTCAAAATTCAGAACGTTTCCAAAACCTCCCCGTCTTATCCTTGTCCAAACCCTGAGACACCACCACCAGCTTCACAACAAACAGTTATCAGGAGCAAAACTCAACTCATAAAACCAGCCATGGTTAATAATTCTAAGCTTTCTCTTTCTCCTTTTGCTTGCAAAATGCATGGCCATCTCTCAACTTCATATCAAGAAAAATAGGGACATGAAGGTACTAAGTGCTCGAGACTTTGTTTGTCTTGAAAAATACCAACTTGTTCGGTATTTTACTTGCAACCATTCTGCTTACCTCAACCTTAATATCAAAGGGGCTGTTATGTTAGCCGCTTTGTTTGGCTCACAGAAGAGGGAATTTAAATAAGTTGAATGCCCAGTAAATGCCTGTATTAATATTTTGTGCATGTATGAAAGAAATACTAATATGTTATCACTTGTATTGAAGAGCTCATCGAATTTCAGTTATTTTCTTTCAGCCTTCTATGTGGTCCTTATTGATGTGGTTTTTTTGTACAGATTTTAAAAAACTCAAGAATTGATGCTAGTTGATTGAATTTCTCACTTAGTATCTAGTAGGACAAAGGAAAGTTGCTAAGCATGATTATTCCTTCCCATAGATCTTTAATTTTAGCATATACCAGATGGGAGATGGAGAAAAAAGAAGTCAGAAGAATTGGTTTTAACTGCCAAGTAGAACAATGCTGATTGTGATCAGACACATGGAATGTATTTTAATCTACTTTAATAGATGTATGGTTTTCACGCAGGGAAAGTGTGGGGCTTTACTCATGGCTATCAAATTGGTTATGCTAGACTTTGAAGAACCTAATCAACTTAAACAAGTTTGAAATGTTATTTATATGTTCATAAATTCACAGAGAAGAAAAAAGAAAAGTACTAATTAAATTTCAAATATTTAAGTTCTCCACTTGAAACATGCTTCCTAAAACATTTTTTTTTTGTATATCAAGCCTTTGGATGAAATAGTGAGCCATAAGACTGATAATTTAAAGGGCATTAAATTTTTTCTAGGTTTCCCTTTTCAACAGGGATAATAGACATTGTTTCTTGAAGATGGCAGACTTTGTATTCCATATGCTGGAATAAGCAGACAGTGAGCATAGTTCTACCTTGAGCATACCAAGTCTTTCTGGCTAGTCTTAGCGTAGTTCTTCTGCCAAGTGAATCTGTGGGTTCACACTGAGTCAAAACTTGTCAGCATAGTAAACTTAAACCTCAGTAGGAGATTGTATCTATTTTTGAATTTCTGCGCATTTTTTCAACTTTCAACTGAGTTTGTGCCAAAGCATTTCGCCGATACTTTATTAGTTTTCACAGCAGAACTGTGCTCTGAGTCATTACGCAAGAATTTTACTACTTGAAATGGATTTGGAATTAGACAAAAGTCTCTGTTTTTCTTACCTGGATACATCATTGTTTTGGTTTTTTTTAAACCATTAGATATTCTGGACCAGATTTTTGTAGCTGATTGGCAAACAGTAAATATTTTCAAAGAATTTATTTGCTGCCCATGATGCCTTCGGGAAGGGAAGGTTACCATTGTAATGATTTGCTAAACAAACTAAGAAACAATACTAAGTGAATTCTAAGGACAACTTACTTCAAATTTAGTCAGTAATATAACAGGCCAACAGTGTATTTTTACGTGGGACAAAAATTGTTCCAGTTGTCTCCACCCAGCTAGAAGGATGACCATTTAGTCATTGCAATTGAAATAATTTAATTTTTTTATATAGAAATAGCATGTTCTCCTATCTTCTGTAACAGATTTAGAGACTTATGTCATTGGGACAAATAGTAATGGCAGTGAGGACAAATACTCAATGTTCACAAGAAGCAAATCTGAATTTCTACATCCTCTCCAGGATCTTCATCTGATGATTGCCCTCTTGTTAATAGCTGCACTTTCAACTGTCTCCTAAGCATAGTTGAAGACTGGAGTGAGCTAATTAAGATGCTGAGATGGTTGAAAGTGCTATCAGAGATTTGTATATTAGAGATGTATTTAAATACATGTTTGTTTTGGATTTATATCTGGTTTTGATCTAAGTGTGAATCCTTCAGTCTCAGTAGTACTATCACATGGAAAGTTAAAAACACTTCAGACCCCTGTGCTTGCATATTACTAGAGGGTAACTCCATTTTGTAGAAACATCAGCACTTGAAATGATGTCTTAGAACTGCAAAGTATCGTAGTATTATAACATAGAACAGTCTCTGATGCAACCTGAAAAAAGAAACCGTGGCAAGTTCACAAGGCTGTAACGATCTTGGAGTTCTCTCCTGGAATTTATTTCAGAGGTTAGCAGGAGTCCAGTGTGTTTCAAATAGTCTGTTTTCCATTAATCTTAACTTGTGTTAATATTTTTCCCAAGGACTGAAAGGGTATATCAGGCGGTGCTAAGCTTTGTCAAATAATTTGGCAGTGTGACTTGAAATCCTGACAAATACCAACAGCAAATTGTTCAATTGGATGTTTCCTTTGATTTTAATAGACAATTAGTAATCATAATAGATGGAGTAATCTGATCATTAGTTAATTGGTTGCATTTATTTCAGTGGTTACAAGTAGGATGGGGAATTCTCTCATGTCCTGTGTATGAAGTACTTTATAGCAGTGTTTTGGAGTGTATTATTTCCCTTGAGGAATAACTCTGTATGTCTATGAACATACTATTTCTCCTCAGTCTAAACAATCCTGTTGGTTTGCTGATTAGTCTTGCGTTGTGTAGATACATAGATTACAATGAGTAATTCTGCACTTCTTTAAAATTTAGCTGTGTTTCCAACACCTGTGGAGGTGTTGCTTTGTTTCATTGTGTGCTAAGATACAGCTGTTGTTACTCGCCTATCTTTGCCTTTAGCCTATCTATTTCTTGCCCCTTATAGCCACAGCAGACCTTCCTCGTTTATGAGGTTAAAAAAAAAAGCAGGCAGGTGATGTTCATAGTATGAAAAACTGTTTGCATCAAAGACCACATGTTTTAAGGAGTGAGTGAAAATGCAGATATGACAGCAGATCAAAATTTCTCTTGCTCTGAAGTATAAATAGCCAGGACAGAGACCAAACACCATAGCCAAAGTCATAGTGAAAGCATGAGGCAGTATAGGGGGTGCCCAAATCATAGACCTCCCATGCTCCTGTGCTTATATTAAGCCATTTTCCTGCTTCTCTGATGGTTAGATTTTTCCATTAAAGATGTAGCTGTAGACATGGGACCTGTGTGCAACTGACTGGGTTGCACATAGGTCATCACTGCTGATTCAGGAATGCTTGTAAATATATGGATTTCTTACATTAAATAGAAAACTTTAAAAGTTATCTGCCTTACTAATGGAATAGGGAGTTGTGCTTTGATTGTGTTCGAAAATTTTTTTATGATTACAAAGTTATTTCCTGAAGCATCGATGAATTCCTTTGAGTCTGGTCACATCTCACTGTTGTTTTCCACTGGAAGGACCTGAAGTAGTAATGCCAATTTGCTGCTGTTAATTAGTATGTAAGATATGTTAGAGAGAAGGAGTTGCATGAGAGAGAAAGAAAGACTGGAAAAAGAGCATTTTTTCAAACTCTTAACATGGAAGAGCACTCTGAAAAGAGAAGAAGATCTTCCTCAAAATAGCTTTTATTAAATAGCTAGCAAAAGATATTTGAATAATAAACTGAATTGTGCTGCTATTTTATGCCTTGTATTGGCTAAAGTCTGAATTGCTTCTTCTGAACTTTGAACTTACGATTTGTAGAAGTCTAGGGACTTTAAAACATGGTACCTGGATAGTAAATGGTTTCCTTCAATTAAGATTTTACATATTTGTAAT